GTGTCAAGTCGCGTGTCTGCGATACGGGTCGTAGGAACGATGCGGCGAATTAAGGGCATTTGATATGCTGCGTTTTTTGGCGAAGCGTACGTTTGGTACACTTGCCTGTTGTATGGAGCGGTCCTGGGTGTAGTCACCTCATGTGTAGCAAGTGTCGGGTACGTTCCAGCGCAATGGTTGCCAATCTTCGAGCTAAACGGTGTACCGTTTTGGCGATCTCGCGGGCCGTTCTCGTTTCGAGGATGTTCGAAGAAGAGAAAACAAACGCCATAAACATACAATGTTGGCGCTTTGCGCGGATGTATTGGATCGGCGTGGAGCCCCCTGGCGGCGCCGCCGCCGCCCCCTTGGCGCGCTCCGCGCGCCAGGGAGGGGGGTCCAGCGCAGATCCAAGAATTCCGCGCGGGGCGCCAAAAAAGTGCATGTTTTTTTTTTTCTCTCTCTCTCTCTCTCTCTCTCTCTCTCTCTCTCTATATATATATATATATATATCCACACACATATATATATATGTATATATATATATATATCTATCTATTTAAACATGTGTTTCTAAATTTCCCCTTAGATGCCCCGTGCGGAATGTATCCGTGCGACAGCGTATCCGCCGGGCCGCGCTCCGGAATCCAGATCGCGGGGCCCGTGCCAAGAAACACCCTGCTTGCCTCCAAGGTGCCCTGGGTTTCCTGCGCTTCGACTGTTTTGCGATGGAAAACGTGACGTTCCCACGCCAAAGAACGAAGGACGCCCTGGGGTCTCAGGGTTGGGTTTCTTGCGGAAGGTTTCTTATGGACTGGCCTCCGCTGTAGCTGACCTCGCTCCCGTGACCTCGTGGCCAAGTTCAGGCTCCCGCCGCGGAGCGGCAGTGGGAGGCTTCACAGCTTATGCCGCCACGTCTTCACATCCAGAAGGCGCATCCCCCGACAAAGCAATCGAGGCGTGGATCCACGAGCGCCGATGCTCATCGATACTCCTCGACGCCGAGGCACTGCTTGTCTCGTCCGCTCCGTGCCCCTGGGAGGCTCCTCGCTGGTCGTTCGACGAGATAGCAGAAGAGAGGCGCGAAGGCAGAGGAGATCTATGAAAAGCAGAAGGAGGAGAGGACGGGGGGGGGGCGGAGAGAGAGGGCAGGCGGACGCGGGGAGCAGGAAAAGGCGAGTGGGGGAGCAGGTCAGCAGGGGGGCGAGACCCAGACCCCCTCGGGCAATGAAACAGCCATGACGGAAGTTGTTTTTTTTCATGCTCAGCCTCCGTCCAAAATCAATTCAGGATGAAGAACCGGTCCAGGGGAATGGGTCCAGATCTCCAGGGGTCGCCGCAATGAAAAAACCATGCCGTCGGGGGTCTTGGGGGGGAGGGATGGGCAGGATGCTTCTGGTCCAGGGGAATGGGTCGAGATCTCCAGGGGTCGCCGTAATGAAAAAAACCATGCCGTCGGGGTTCTGGGGGGGAGGGATGGGCAGGGCGCGGGAGGGAGAGAAGGCGAAACCCCTGGGGGCGTCGACCCCCCAGGAGGAGAAAGAGGAGGAGGAGGAGGAGGAGGAGGAGGAGGAGGAGGAGGAAGAGGAGGAGGAGGAGCAGGAGCAGGAGGAGGAGGGGAGGAGGAGGAGGAGGAGGCAGGAGGAGCAGGAGGAGGAGGAGGAGGAGGAGGAGGAGGGAGGAGCAGGATGAGGAGGAGGAGGACGAGAAAGAGGAGGAGGAGGAGGAGAAAGAGGAGCAGGAGGAGGAGGAGTTGGAGGAGGAGGTGGAGCAGGAGGAGGAGGAGGAGGAGCAGGATGAGGAGGAGGAGGACGAGAAAGAGGAGGAGGAGGAGAAAGAGGAGGAGGAGGAGGAGGAGGAGGAGTTGGAGGTGGAGGAGGAGCAGGAGGAGGAGGAGAAAGAGGGAGAGAAGGAGCGACCCCTGGGGGCGTCGACCCCCAGCAGAGGTCTGGGCCCCTGCCCCGGGGACCGGCTCCTCCTCCGGAGGCCAACCACAGCGAAGGGCCCCCCGTCGCGCTGTGCTCGCGACGCGGGGAGGTCTGGGGAGGGGGAGCAGGTCAGCAGGGGTCCTACTCCTCCTCCTCCTCCGCCGCCTCGCCTCCTCCTCCTCCTCCTCCTCCTCCTCCTCCTCCTCCTCCTCCTCCTCCTCCTCCTCCTCCTCCTCTCTCTCCTCCGTCTCTCCGTCCCTGCGTCTCTCCGTACCTCCGTCTCCTCCTTCCCCTCCTCCTCCTCCTCCTCCTCCTCCTCCTGGGCAGGGCGCGGGTGGGAGAGAAGGAGAGACGCTTGGGGGGAGAGACGGAGGTCAAGGGAGGAAAAAGCACCTGGACCCGAGAATTGGCGTTTACGGAACGGCCATGGGCGTTCATTAAACAGCCTTGCCCTGTTCGATTCTTCCGGGTGCGTTTACTGAGCGGCTTCGCGTGTTGGGGCGACTCTTAGGAGGTTGGATCTTCTGCTCTCCAGGAGGGGGAGCAGGGAGGGTGCGGGAGATACGTGGGGGATGAGGCGGGTGGGCGACGTCGGGCATCCTCCTGGTCCCCCCCCCCAGAGGTCTCCAGGGGCCTCCTGGAGCCTCTTCGGAGGGCCCATGGAGGCCTCCGGAGGCCGGAGCCCTCGGGAAATTCCGAGGAAGGCCAGCACCCTCGAGCACCCTGCGGCGTGCGAGATCCTCGATCCGTGGAACCTCATAGCAATTTTCGGGGAAGACGAAAGTCCAATATATATATATATATATATATATATATATAAATATATGTATGAATGAACATGTAGGGACTCTTGGGAGTCGTGTCTGTGTGTCTGTGTCCCTGGGCCACTCCACTGGTCCCCAGACGGCCCGCCAGTGGAAAATTCCTGTCAGTCTCCGCGTCCTCTTAGCGGGACGTGCTTGCTCAACAGCGCCAACGAAGCGCAAACGGAACTTAAGCCGCGTGCATTGGCGGCGGGTCCCGATTCCGTGCAGTATCGGCAAGCTCAGTCGCCAAATCAGTCGGCATTGGCCTCATGTGTCGGGGGATGACTTTCCCGATCCATGGATCTGGCGCCCACGCGCCAGATTCACGGAACTGCAATCCCTGTGAGCGCGCGCCCGATAGGTGGGAGGTAGAGGGCCCCAACCCCAATCTCGTCGTCCTGCTTGTCCGGCATCCGTTCTGTCTCGCCTCCTGTCTCCGCTGGTCCCCAGACAGCCCATAGGTGGAAGGTTTTGGCATTTCCCGCGTCTTGTTAGCAGGATACGCTTGCTCATCTCGGCGATGCGGCGAGGGGGAAAATGAGAAGCGCAAATCCTTCCCAGAAGGCGGCCGATTTCTCGCAAGGCCGGATGCCTTCGGAGCCTCCGGAGAAAGTCCGCCGGAGAAGAAGGAGGAGAAGGAGGAGGAGAACGAGAAGGAGGAGGAGGAGCAGGAGGAGGAGAAGGAGGAGGAGGAGGAGGGGGAGGAGGAGAAGGAGAAGAAGAAGGAGGGAGGAGGAGGAGGAGGAGGAGGAGGAGGAGAAAGAGGATAAGGAGGAGGGAGGAGAGGAGGAGGAGGAGAGGAGGAGGAGGAGGAAGGGAGGAGGAGGAGGAGGAGGAGGAGGAGGAGGAGGAGGAGGAGGAGGAGGAGGAGGAGGAGGGAGGGAGGGAGGAGGAGGAGGAGGAAGAGGAGAAGGAGGGGGAGGAGGCGAAGGAGAAGGATGGAGGAGGAGGAGGAGGAGGAGGAGGAGGAGGAGGAGGAGAAAGAGGATCAGGAGGAGGAGGAGGAGGAGAAAGAGGAGGAGGAGAAAGAGGAGGAGGAGGAGGATGAGAAAGAGGAGGAGAGGAGGAGGAGGAGGAGGAGGAGGAGGAGGAGGAGGAGGAGGGGGAGGGGGAGGGGGAGGGGGGGGGAGGGGGAGGGGGAGGGGAGGGGGAGGAGGAGGAGGGGGAGGAGGAGGAGAAAGAGGAGGAGGAGGAGGAGGAGAAGGCGAAAGAGGAGGAGGAGGAGGAGGAGGAGGAGCCCCGTTCTGCCTTCTCCCCCTGGGCGCTCCGCCGATCATCAGCAAATGCCACTTGTCTCGGTGTTCCCTGGAATGATGGGAGGGGCGTTGCCGCCTTCGAACAATTGGTGCTGGACGTCAGTCGGGAGTGTCCCTCTACAGGTGGAACATGTTCAAAAGTAATTAATATTAATAATAGTCTGGGGGCGATGTTTGGGGACTAGGTTTGACCACTTTGGAGTATTGGTTTGACTATTTCATGTTTCGTCCAAGGTCCGCCTGTAGGGGGAGGGGACATGCCCGACCTCAGGGCTGTTCATTGGAATGATGGAGGGGCGTGGCCTCCTTCGAACAGCTGATGCTGGACTTAAGTCGGGCGTGTCACAGGAGGAGTCTTCCAAAATAGTCAACAAATAGTATGGGGACTATTTTTTGGTGATTTTTGACTAGTTGGGGACATTTGGAGGGTATGTTTTTTCTCGTCCAACATCCGCCTGTAGGGGGACACGCCCGACCTACTGCTGGACTGGTGCTCCGAGTTGCCTCCCCGAGGCCAGCGCATGGCGTCGCCGTGCGTTGAGATGAGCGTCTTTCGGCGCCCCCTGCCTGCAGCTGATGCTTCTCGGTATCGTTTGACCGACCGCCATCCCCATCCCCATCCCCTTTCGAGACCCCCACCAAATTGCCACCCCAGTTGGGGGTACGCCCCTCGAAACCCCAAGGGAACGGCCTGTATCCCCATCTAGGGGGGGTAAATCGGCCAGTGGGGCCCAGGCCACGCCGCTGGGGATGGGGATCGGTTAAACGATGCTCATTGCAGCTGATGCTTCAGAGGTTCTCGTGCCGCAGAGTCAAAACCGTTGAAGCAAGAGCCACTGGGTGCGCTGGATAAGGCTCTCGTCTGCCGGGCGCTCTTTGGATCCAGGCAAGGGGGAACCTGGTCGTGGCCGAGTGGCTCGCCGTTGCAAAAAACGCCCCTTGGCTCCCCGATCCGCGTTGTTTCTCTGTTGTCTGGCAGCGCGGTTGCTGCTGCAGTCGCATTATTTGCAGCGCTCCCGCGCAATCGCAAGGACACGAGGAGGAAGACGGCCACCATCATGGCCTCGCAGGGCGAGCGGAGCGAGAAGGACGACTCGAAGGAGCGCGCCTGGTATTTACGCTCGCTGGATCGTGGCGGCCTCGCGCTGCATCCTGTCCGGTCCAGCTCTGATCGCGCGGATCAGGCTTCCGAGATGATTTACACGGCCGCTATCCGCGTCAGTGGCCGGGACAGTGGAAGTGGGAGTGATTCTGAGACCGATCTGCGTTCGTGAGGCCGTCACCGTAGGATGACGCAACAGCATTGCAGGTGTGTGAGTTTTCATGAATTCACATTGTATCATGTTGTTATTCCTTGCTCTGCTTTCCCCCCCCTCGCCCCCTCTTGACTAGACGGAGACATGGCATCCTTTTGAAGAGGCTTCGGGGTGAATGAAGCCAGCCAGACCTTCTCCGGGAAGGAATGTGTGTGCAGTTTGCTCTTTCTCTCCCTGCCTTTCCCTCCTTTCGCCTCCCTCTCCCCTCCCTTTCCCCCCCCTCCCTGACCCAATCCCTAGCCGGAGGGATGGCACTTCTGTTGAGAGGGCTCAGGGCGTCATGAGCTGAGCAGGCTGTTTCATATATTGCTTTGTTGGTACAGGTCCCACCAACCTTCTCTCGTGTGCGAGCGGTCTGACAGCATTCCACAGAGAAGGCTTCCGGGCGAACGAAGCCAGTTTCTCTCATGGCGGAGGCTTCCGGGAGAGCGAGGCCATTCTGCCATCAGCGTGTGCATCTTCACATGGATTTGCCTTTTTCCTGCCCTCTCCTCTCGCTTCTCTTCCCTGCTCTCTGCTTTCCCGCCTCTTCCTCCCATCCAATCCATGGGTAGAGCCGGTCAGACGGCGCTCGACAATGAGATTGGCTGACGTTCGCAGACAGGCTGAATGCATATGTGCATTTGTCACACTGCGTGTCCCATCTCGCTTCTTTCGCTCTCGCTTTCTTTCTTTTCTCATCTATCGTGTCCGTCGGCATTTCAAAGCTCAGTTGGTTTAGACCGCGGCGCTTAAGGCGTACCAGACACGTCGCACACATGTGGGCTGATTGAGCACAGCGCAGGAAAAAGACGGAAAGGATCCTCCCTCAGTCCCTGCCCCCTCCCTTCATCCTCCTACCCGCTCCTCGTCGCCATGCTCCTCCTCACCTTCCTCTTCCTAAAGAAGAAGGAAAATATAACAGCTGCAGAAGCACAAAAATTCGGAGCCCCCCATGGATTTCTTGGATCGGCGCTAGGCCCCCCTGGCGTCCCGGCGCGGCAGTCAAGGGGGTTCAGCGATCCGAGACATCCGCTCGGACCTGCAACCGTTCGTGCTCATGCAGTTGTCGCTGCCTCTGTTCTCTCTTCGACGTCCTCTCGCGCATCCCCCGCATCATCAGGCCCCCCCTCGCTCCTGCCACTCTGGCCCAGGCAAGGGCGAGAAAGACCAGCAGCGAACTCGCCCTGGCGAGGGTTCCGCCACAGTGGAGACCCATGCCAAGAAACACCCTGCCTGCCTCCAGGGTGCCCCGGCTTTCTTGGGTGTCCATGGTCTTGCTGTGGAAGCCGTGGCGCTCCCGCGCCAAACATCAGGGAACCTCCTCACCACCCACCAAACCACCCCAACCCAACCCGAAGGCTCAGATTTACCCTCGATTTCTAGTGGGGGGGTCGGGAAACATCGAAAAAACACATGTGGAACCCTTACCCCCCCAACCCGAAATTCGGGTCTTCGGGTTGGGTTGGGGTGGTCTGGTAGGTAGTCACCTCCTGGGGTCTCCGGGTTGGGTTTCTCGTGGAAGGCTTCTCGTGGCCGAGCCCCTGCTGCACACCGCAGGCGTGCCCCCTTGCGCCAGAGCGACCTCTTCTCCGCGGCGTTCGGGCAGAGCGTCGGGGCCCGAACCGAGCACGCTGTTGCCGCTGCTGCCGCACTAGGCGTGCCACGATCGGCACGCCGCGCGCCACCTGGCTCAGAGCCCCGAGTCATCAGGGGTAATTCGGGTCAGGGATAACTCGGGTTCGTTTTTCGGGAATCCAAACCCGAGTTACCCCGGACCCGAGTTACCCCGGATAACTCGGGCGCCCAACGGGCCTTACGTCGGGCCTGTCCCTCTACAGGAGGAATGCTAAAAGATAGTCCACAAAGAGTCGGGTGAGGATTTTGGTGACCATGTTTGAGCATTTCAGGGCATGTTCTGGCATCTTGTTTTTTCTCGTCCAGAATCCCCCTGTAGGGGGACAGGCCCGACCTAAACCTGACCACCCGATGCCCAGGGCAACTCTTGCTGGCACAGTGGGGGCACCGAAGAAGGAACCCTTTTCGCTTGGGAGGGTCTCGGTGCCCCTCAGTTGTTTTACAGGTCGGCTTTGGTTTCGCAGGCCTAGAGGTTGACACCAGCATCAAGAAGGGTGGTGTGCCTTCACCGAGGGAAGACGATCCCGATCTCGGTGATGGTGGTAATGCTCTGGCTTCCAAGGTGCCCGAAATTTCACCACCAACTTGGAAATCGAAACTCAACTTCTGGAAAAAGGGGGCTTCGTGCCTTTTCTGGGGGTTCCTGAGGTCAACGCCCCGACTGCAGCCGAGGGCGGTGGATGACCGATGCTCCCTGTGGGAGGAGCGCCGACCGCTTGCCGAGCCAGACGAATGGGCAGGAACGACGACGACAACGACGACGACGATGACGACGACGGCGACGACGACGACGACGACGACGACGACGACGACGACGGTGGCCGCGAAGACGGCGGCGAAGACGGAGGCGGCGGTGGCGGCGACGGTGCTGGCGACGGCGGCAGCGACGAGGAGAAGGAGGGGGAGGAGGAGGAGGAGGAGGAGGAGGAGGAGGAGGAGGAGGAGGAGGAGAAGGAGGAGGGGGAGAGGAAAGAGGAGGAGGAGGAAAAAGGAGGAGGAGGAGGAGGAGGAGGGAGGAGGAGGAGGAGGAGGAGGAGGAGGAGTGGGGGGATGGGGAGGGGGAGGGGGAGGGGGAGGAGGAAGGAGGAGGGAGAGGAGGAGGAGGAGGGCGAAGAGGAGGAGGAGGAGGAGGAGGAGGAGGAGGAGGAGGAGGGAGCAGGGGGGGCAGGCGCAGGCAGGGGGCAGCGGCGGCGACGGCGGGGTGCCTCGGAGGGCCACCCAGCCTTATATGATTAAGTCGGGCGTGTCCCTCTACAGGAGGAATATTCAAAAAAAACAGTAAAAGATAGTCAGGGGATGATGTATAGGTTATGTTAAAGCTTTTTCGAGCATTCGTTGCTTTGTATTTTTCGTCCAAAATCCGCCTGTAGGGGGACATGCCCGCCCTAACCCCATGATCTTGCAACCTGCTTTAGCCTTGACCGCCAGAAAGAATGTCGAGCACCGGGGAAGCACCGAGGCTGGAGTGGTTTTCGCGTGTCGGGCCCCGGGAGGCGATTCTCGCTCGACACCGTTTCCATAAGTTTCGGGGAGATCACAATTACTTAATCGCTTCGCTCATTCCGCCGGCCCTCGAGCGCTCTATGGGGCATCTTCGAAGCCTCTTGGGGGCCTCTTTGGGGCCTCCTGGGGGCCTCTTGGGGGTCTCTTGGGGCTCCTTGGCGGCGTCTTGGGGCCCCCTTGGGCCTCTTGGGAGGCTCTTGGGGGCCTCTTGGGGCGGGGTAGTCGAGTGCACCCCCCTCGGAGGCCACGATCCTCGTGAGGGTTGTCGAAAAAAAAGGCCCGCAAAACCATCTCTGAGTAGACCTGCTCGGGCTGCCGTCGGGATACTTTTCGCCGGGGGACCCCCAGGGGCCGCCCCGCGCGCGCGAACTAGAAATGATATTGTTCGCCAGTTACGGGAGATCTTAGCACGCCTTTGGCCCGTTGGGCCGGCGAATTTCTGGGTTGTGGTCCGTGAGTACGATGGGAGCAACAGAAGCCCAGACCCTCCCTGACAGGAGCAGCTGTGCAGGGCGCAGTGGGAGTCCCTGCGCGCCGCGCAGGCGCGGCCCCGCCGCTCTCGTCATCGTCGTGGTCGTCGTCGTTTTCGTTTTCGTCGTCGTCGTCGTCGTCGTCGTCGTCGTCGTCATCGTCGTGGTCGTCGTCGTCGTCGTCGTCGTTGTCGTCGTCGTCGTCGTCGTCGTCGTCGTCGTCACCTTCGAGCTTCGAGCTTCGAGGGTCGTTGCGGAGGCGAGCGAGGGGGCGAAGTGAGCAGGAGAAGGCCTTTTCAGAAGGTTCGGGAAGTCCCCCTGGCCTTCAGAGAAGCAGTCTAAGCCTTCCCGAAGACAAGGAACAGCTTCTCGGAAGGCGCGAGGGTCTCTGAGAAGTCCCACCGCCTGCTGAGAAGGCTTTTTCCTTTCTCACTTCACCCCCTCGCTCGCCGCCGATCGATGACCGACGATAACTCTCGGGCCTGGTGCTGCCCTCACGGGGGGGGGGTCCTCGCGGCCGCGGCGGGAGGTGCCCCTTCGAGAGACTGCTGTCGGAGCGCTGCCCCTGGGGAGAGATCGGGGGGGGGGGGGGGTCTCGTCGTCCTCGGTTTAAGTCGGGCCTGTTTCTCTACAGGAGGAATATTCAAGAATGATACGAAATAGTCTGGGAACGATTTTTTGGCCAGAGTATTTTAGGTTGTTTGTTTGTTTGTTAATGTTTAAAACTTTTCGTCTAAGACTCCCCTGTAGGGGGATTGGCCCGACTGAATCCTCGGCGGGCTTCGAAGGGCATCTATCTGTTTCCTTCGGAGTCTGATAGACATCCTACCCTGACACGTCGATCAGCGAATCTGCCGTTTTCGGTTCGCGAGAGGGCGTCGCGGGCGTCCTTTTTGCGGGTCCAGGTCCGTCGGTTTCAGTCCTGGGCCGTTTTCGTTGAGCCGATTCCTGAGACTTCTGGCACCGTAGCACGCTCCAGCGGCGAGCGAGGGGGGGGGCACGAGCAGGAGAAAGGGCCCTCTCGGAAGGCGGCGGGGCTTCTCAGAGGCCTCCGCGCCCCCCGAGAGGTTTTTTTGTTGTTGATGCCTTCGGGGAAGGCTCCGAAGACCTCCCGGAGGGCCTTTGGGACTCTTCCGGGCTGTCTGTGAAGGCCCGCGCCTTGCTCGGTTCCCTCCCGGCCGCGCCGCCAAGGGCTCGCCTCTGCTTCGGCGTTGCAGCACCTGGCCAATTTCCAAGTATTCGAAAGTTCTTTCGTTTTTGGGGGGCCAAGAGCCTTTCATTTTCTAATTCTTCTATCCTGGGCCTCTTCCTGGCCACTGGGGGGCCAGGAACACTGAGAAACAAGCATTACTGGAAAGGAGAACGATTAGAGATGAACGACGTGTACTGTGTCTTCCCCCTTTGCTGCTGCGTGCAACTGCCGACTCCTGGAACGCGGCCGGGAGGCGAGAGGGGCTCCAGCGGTTCGGCAGAGAGGCCCGCTCCTCTGCAACGCCAGTCGGGAGTGAAGCGAGCCGTGCTCGGCTGACCAGTCCGTTGAACGAGATGGACGGGTCACGCTGCACCTTCGGGGGGCCTCGCCCGTCCCGACAGTTGGTGTCTTCTCTTGTGCCCGACGCGGGCCCGATGCGGACACGACTTGAATTTGGCGTGGATTCAGTGCGGATTCGGCACGGGTCCGACGAGGCCGACATGGATTCAACAGGGATTCGACGCGGATGGGGCCGCGAAGGGACAGACAAGGTCCCTCCGAGGATGCATCATACCAGTCGGGAGTGACGAGAAGCGTGCTCGGCAGATCCATCGAACGAGATGGATGGGGAGTTCGATGCCGAGAGTCTTCGGGGTACCGCCCGCCAGCTCCACTTGTACAGTGCGGCCCCACAGGCAGAACCCCTTACCCTGGAGGCTGTCTCAACTCTTCTCGCGACAAGACTGCAACGCCTCCGCATCCCACTCCCTTCTCCTCCGCCTCTGCCTCCTCCTCCTCCTCCTCCTCCTCCTCCTCTTCCTCCTCCTCCTCCTCCTCCTCCTCCTCCTCCTCCTCCTCCTCCTCCTCCTCCTCTTTCTCCTCCTCCTCCTCCTCCTCCTCCTCCTCCTCCTCCTCGAGCACCAAGAAGTCCCTGCCAGGATCGGTGGGCTACCCGTGCCAGCCCCGCGAGGGCAGCGCACCCGCCGATCCCCCAGAGGACGCAACGCAGGGACAGCAGTCCCCCGCGCATCCCCTCGCGCAGTCTCGCGGGGGGGAAAGCTGCGACGCTGCGCTTCGGCCAGGCAGGTCCTCCTACAGCTCTGGTCTTCAGCCCGCTTCCAGGCGATCGCAAACATGGATTAAAGGGGGGAGCTGCGAAGCTACGCTCAGGTCGGGCAGGTCCTCCTACAGTTCTGGTGCTCCAGCCCACTGCCAGGCGATCGCAGACATGGATTCAAGGAGGGAGACAAAGAAGCTACGCTCAGGTCGGGCATGTCCTCCTGCAGTTCTGGTGCTCCAGCTTACTCTCAGGCGATGCAAGCATGGATTACAGGGGGAAAACTGCGAAGCTGCGCTCAGGTCGGGTATATGTCCTCCTGCAGTTCTGGGGTTCCAGCCCACTGCCAGGCGATCGCAAGCATGGATTATATAAAGGGGGGAGCTGCGAGGCTGCGCTCAGGTCGGGCAGGTCCTCCTACAGCTCTGGTGTTCCAGCCCACTTCCAGGCGATCGCAGACATGGGTTAAAAGGAGGGAAACTGCGAAGCTGCGCTCTGGTCGGGCATATGTCCTCCTGCAGTTCTGGTGCTCCAGCCTAACCCTCAGGCGGTCGCAAGCATGGATGACAAGGGGGGCGCGGATTGGCGACGGGCCCCGTTTCCATGGGGGCATCGCGGATTCCCGCGGCAGAGCGAGGCGGCACCGGCGATTCTCTGGGGAGGGCACCTCCCTCGCTCCATGGATGAGGCGACCGCGCGCCACATCCATGGATCGCTAGTCCATGCCTGCGCGCCCCCGATGCTTTTTCCTTGGCCACCAGCAAGAAGCTCGAGCACCAGAGAAGTACTCATGAGCCCGAGGGGTTTCACGTGTCGGGCCCTGGGAGACACTCGTCCGACGCCGCTTCGGCACTGTGTGCCGGCACTTCCCTGGGTGCCCGAAAGTATTTCTGGGACGTGGTCCTCGAGTACGATGGGGACAACAGACGTGTTTTTTGCCTTTCCCGAAAAACCAAAAGTGCCCCCCAAAAGACCCAAAAATGATCAAACAATACTAAACCATCGTCCCCAGGCTTGTTTTAACAAAAAAACTGTTATTTTTGCATGTTTCCCCTGTGGAGGGACAGGCCCGACTTGAAGTTCCGGTCAGGGGCGTCTGCTGAGCGTGTCGCTCCGCCAGATCTGGCCCACCACGCCTCGGCGAGGCACGCCGACTGCGTCCGCATTTCCGAGCGGGGAAAAAATCCACAGACACAATGAATCGTCGATTCCCCAGAAGATGTGGAAACTAGTGAGAAAGTGGGGGGAGGACGGGAACCCGGAATATATATATATATATATATATATATATATCCCTGAGTCTCCACCTTCCATACCTTCCGCGCGGAAGCTGCATCATTTCATCGTATTCAGTAAGAGTTTATGAGGGTTTCCAGAGGTTTCTTGGGTTTCTTAGGGTTTTTCGAGTTATTTGAAACATCGCATAGCACAGCGCGCCATCAAGGCCTGATTAGCATAGCATAGCATCGCATACCACAGCACAACGCAGGACCGAATGAGGAGAATGATGTCATAGCGTTGCATTGCGCAGCATTCTTAGCATAGCATAGCACAACATAGCACAGCATAGCACAGCAAAGCACAGCATACCATAGCAAATCATAGCACATCATAAGGATAAGGATTGCATAGCACAGCATCGCATATATCATAGCATAACACAGCATATTACAACATAACATAGCAGACTTAGTTAGGGATAAGGACAAGGATAAGGGCTTCAGAAAAGCAGTGGAGAGGGCCAGAGGGAGAAGGGGAAGAGAGGGAAGGGAGGAAAAGAAGAAGCAGAAGGGGGAGGAGGGGCACTGAGGATTAGTAGAAGAAAGGGGGATGGCGACGATAAAGGGGGTCAGAATGACCATATGATAACATTGAGAAAAGTGAAAGGAAGGGAGAGGGGATGGGGCGAGGGGAGGAAGGAGGGTGAAGGGAGTAGGAGAGGACGAGGGAGAAGTCAGATTCTCCTTCGCCCTCCCCTCTACCCCTCCCTCTCTTGCTGTTTTGCTTTTCTCTCCCTGGGGGCGCGTGCCCCTGGCTGCGGCGGCAAGTCAGCGAACTGTGAAACACCAGAGGCCAAGCCAGACGTGATCTGCATGGTGCTGGCGATTGTGAACAGGGTTAATATTTAAATGCATGTATGGCCAGAATAATAAATACACATTCGCACCATGCAGATCAATCCAAGTGATTATTGAAAAGGAACTCAGCAACCCACTTGGTAAGCCAAGTTTGTGCAAACAAAGGTCGATACAAGCCGAACGACCGAATTCTGGAACCATAGTTCTCGGACTCGTCCGAATAGTTATGGCTAAACGACGGGTTGCCTGCAAACGAGGCTTGGTCCTCGAAATGGCAAGCGAACACGTGCCATTTCATAGTCATCGGTTGCCCTGCGTTTATCCAGGCTCTGACGCAACGTCGAGTCACGTGGCCAAGGTGCACAATCGCGCTCGGCGACATGCTGCGCGGCTCCCGTGCGCAGATAGCAAAATACGATTGCAGAGACGTGCCGCAATCGGCCAGATGCGTGCCGAGCATGGGGGCCTTATTGTCAAAAACTTGTTTGCCGCCTTTTTCAACGAGAAGATTCACAAAAAATGGCAGCAACGATTTCCCTTTGGCTGCCTTGAGGGTTAGTGACGGATTGTCTACTTTCGTGTCTATCATTCCAGATGCGAGTTTGCTCCTGAGACCTTGATCCACGCCGTGCCGAGTATAATATTGTGTTAAACAGCGATTGATCTCAAAATCTGCTGAGTCAGGTTCTTTCTCGGACCATGGACCGAACACGCCAGCTTTCAAGAGTTGCGCGAAAACGAATCC